GTGAGTAGCATTTGTCAATTGGCAGGCTTTGCAGGTGGCAATGATACGCTCAGTTTCTGGAGGTCTTGCATTTTTCGAGTGCCCATGTGGGTGGCCTGGTGCATTTTGGAGAGAACTTGTTCTCCCAGTGCTTCAGGCAGGATGACTCTACAGTCAGACAGTCTCCACCATCTTTTGAGGCATTGGGCCATGGGCAGTTGTTTTATCCACTTTAAGTCTGCCTCAGTATACTGGGGAGTTTCTGGTAAGGCAGTGCCCCCTTTATCAGGCAGCTGAATGGTCAGGGTCAGATCAGCTTCTAGGGCTATTTTTTGAGCTGTCTGGTTGGCCAAATTATTTCCTTGGGCAATTGGAGTTTGGTGCCTGGGACAGTGAATAATAGCCAATTTCTTTGGCAGCCATAGGGCCGCCAGTAGCACAAGAATTTCTTCTCTGTTTTTAATAGTCTTTCCTTCAGCTGTTAACAGTCCCCTTTCTCTGTAAATGGTCCCATGTATGTGAGCAGTAGCAAAAGCATACCTGCCGTCTGTGTATATATTTAGCTTTTGGCCCTTTCCCAGCGTCAGTGCTTTGGTTAATGCTATGAGCTCTGCTCTCTGTGCTGATGTTCCAGTGGGCAAGGGTTCAGCCCAAACAACCTCAGTCTCAGTGACCACAGCCATCCCTGAATACCTTTGGCCATCCTGAACAAAGCTGCTCCCATTGGTGTACCAGGTATCTTCAGCATCTGGCCATGGCTGATCTTTCAGATCTTCTCGAGTCCCGTGTACCTGAGCCAAGATGTCAGCGCAGTCATGCAGCGGGGCCTCTAGGTCTAGGTCAGGCAATAATGTCAGGCATTGCTGAGCCATCTATCTGGAGACTGTTTTAGAACCCCTTCAATGGCGTGGGGGGTGGTTACATGCAGTTCTTGGCCCAAAGCTAACTTATCAGCATCTTTGACCATCAGGGCTACGGCAGCGATCATCCTTAGGCATGGGGGCCATCCAGCTGCAACAGGATCAAGTTTCTTGGACAGGTATGCTACTGGTTGGTGCCATGGGCCCAGGTATTGGCCTAGGACGCCCTTGGCAACTCCTTTGTTTTCAATGTAAAAGTAGAAGGGCTTAGTGACATCGGGCAAGCCCAAGGCTGGTGCTGACAACAAGGCAGCCTTAATTTGATCAAAGGACTTTTGTAGTTTTTCTGTCCATTGAAAGGCCTGATTGTCTTTAGTTGCCTTATAAAGGGGCTTCGCAAGTTCTGCGATCCCCGCTATTCATAAGCGGCAGAAGCCAGCCAATCCCAAGAATTCTCTAACTTTCCGAGGAGAATCTGGTGTGGGTATCTTAAGAACTGTCTCTTTTCTAGCATCTGATAGCCATCTTTGCCCCTTTTAAAGTATGTAACCCAGGTAGCTTACCTCAGGTTTGCAGATTGGGGCCTTTTTGGCAGATGCCCGGTATCCCAGTTCCCCTATGACTGTTAAGAGTTTCTTGGTTCCATCTAGGTAGTCCTCTCGTGTCTCAGCTGCTATAAGGAGATCATCTACATATTGTAATAATTTGAATGAAGTTTCCATACTGGCAACAAGGGGGTATTCCAGGCCGACTGGCATGGCCTTAGAATTCCCTGGGCAAGTAGCCTCCTGATGTGTGGAGTTATTCCCTTGCGGGCCTCTAGAGACATGGGGTATTGGCAGACCCATGCCGGGTCTGCCCCTGGTTTTATTTCCACAAATACAGGTGCTCTGTGCTTGGCGAGCCCCATGCCCCCAGTCTCTGCCCAGGCTTTAGGGAACATAGTCAGCCACTGGTCTATATCAGGGCTTGGCATGGGCTGCTTTTGATGTAGCCTATACTCATCTTCTAGGCTTATAGTTAACACTTGGATGGGCTTTCCTTCTTGGTAAATCATGAATGAGTGGGTTACCCAGCCCACTCCCAAGTCTGCTGTTCTTCGGGTAGCCTATGAATACTTTTTCATGCCTGTGGCCCATTGGACCCAGGAAGTTTTGTCAGATATATGACCATGTGGTTTGAGCAGGACTGAATGTTGAGCACCGGTATCTACCAGGAACTCAACGGGCTCCCCCTCCACTTTAAGGGTTACCCTGGGCTCAGGGAGGGGCACCGAGCCCCATTCCCCCTAATCACTTAGTTCATCCATGGCCAGGACGGAGGCCTTTGAACGGCTTCCCTGTTGCTTTTTGGGGCACTCCTTAGCCCAGTGGCCTTCCTCTTTGCAGTAAGCACATTGATTTTTCTCCAACCGGGGGGGCTCCCTGCATTCCCCCTTACCTTGTCCTTCCACCGCAATCCTTCTCAGGTGACATTCACGTTCCCTTGGCTCTCCTGCAGTAGTGGCCAGAAGGATCCAAGCCAGGTTTCAGGTCTGGCAGTTGTCAGCTTTCACTTGTCTTTCCTCTGAGGTTTCCCTGTTGTTATACACTCTCTCTGCCACTACCACTAAGTCCTGAATGCTCTTTTCTCCTAATCTGTCTACTTTCTGTAACTTTCTCCTAATATCTGGCATCGCCTGGTTGACAAAATGTATTATTACAGCTGCCTTTGTCTCATTTGCTTCTGGGTCCATAGGAGTATACCTACGGAAGGCTTCCTGAATTCTTTCTAGGAAGGCTGCAGGGCTTTTGTTTGGCCCCTGTTGTACATCCCCTACCTTGGCCAAATTGGTGGGCTTTCAAGCAGCCGCTTTGAGACCTCCCAACAGAGCCTGGCATTAGACTCGGAGCCTCTCCTTACCTTCTGCTGTGTTGAAGTCCCAGTCGGGCCGGGACAAAGGAAAAGAAGTGTTGATAGTATCAGCATTGGTAGTTGGTTGACCATTGTCACCAGGAACCAATTTCCTGGCTTCATTTTGGATTCTCTCTCACTCCTCTGTGGTAAACAGGATCTGGAGGAGCTGCTGACAATCATCCCAGGTGGGCTGATGAGTGAACAAAACAGTTTCTAACAGGTTAATCAAATCTCTAGGGTTGTCT